CAAGAAACCTTCTTCCATTATGCCGATGGAGGCCATGTTGCTTGGTTTCCTTCACAAGACACTAACTATGATTAAACCACGTCACACAACCCATCTAGCTCTGGTGCAAGCTCCCACTGGGATTCTCTTTTCTCTAGGCTCTCCAGTCACTCTGGTCTTCTCTCAATTCTGGTCCCATAACCTGTCAGAGTGTTTGCAGTGTGACTACTTTTGTGAGACAACCCAGGAGCACAACACAGTACACAGAGGCTTTGTCTTTTAACAGTGGTTTATATACAAGACTGCTATATACATAAATATATGTGGTAGGCAAATACCTGGCAAGCAATCCATCTTCTTTACTCTGCACAGAGAACCACAATGGAGACATAACACAAGGAGAGAGAGATATGCTCTCTCATGGCTGCTTTTATATAGACAACTTCTTAAAGTGGTAAAACCCTGTAGACCCATCCTCAGTCTTAAAGCGGCAATAACCATGCTGATTCATCCTCATTTCATCAGCCTTAAAGCAGCTGGTCAGCTATTAAATTTCAATACCTTGACATCAACTGCAATGATTCACTTAACAATTATGGTAAGAAAGGACGTAAAATGAAGCAAAAATTCACTTAACAAATGTCTCATTTAACAACAAAAAAGTTGGGCTCAATTGTGGTCCTAAGTCAAGGACTACTTGTATTTTTATGGCAGTAGCTTTTTTCCATTTTAATGAATAACAAACTGCAGCTCCCTTTATGATTATGGAGCTGGGCAAGGAGGACCATTATCCATACAACTGTATAGGGGTAAGTAGCAAAGAAGTTCAGATTTCCTTCAAAATTCAAGAGCTCTCCCAAAAATATCACCTAATTAACCCACAGAAATATCTGGGGGATTTTGCTTTTAGTTATGTTGACCACCAAGGAACAAATCCTCTACTGACAATTGAATTCCTAATGCTTCCCAAAGCAATAACAATGCCACTTTTAAAGTTAAAATCTATAAATATTTTAATACATAGTATGTTAAGATTTAACATCTCAGGCAGTTTGCAGCATTAGCCAATTTTGATCAATCTGGAAAAGCTAAGTACGGTTCAGGCCTAACTAATACTCAAATGGGAGATCACTACAATATTCCAGGGCTGTAGGCTGGATGGGAACCTGAAAAAACCATTCTAGAACAGGGGTGTCAAACTCAAGACACATGGGCCGGATCAGCTCACAGGGTGCTTAGAAGTGGCCCATGGAGTTGGTCTGGAAGTAACAAAGGACCGGCCTACAATGCCTCTACCAGCCAAAATGGGGCATGGGGGACCGCAGAAGCCTCCCGACCCCGTGTGTCCATTTGGCTGGTAGAGTGCTGCAGGAGGCAGCACTTTCTTCACCTTATCTTTAGCAGCACCTGCCAACTAGAACTAGGTACCCTCCAAGATCTGGATGGCTGTTATTCAAAAGAGCCAAAAATACCTGGCTCTTCACCCAGGTGTTTGATGAGAGTGAACCTCCTCGTACCACTGAGTTTGACTCTTTTACCTGTGACTGATTTAATTATATTTTTTTTATTGTTGTGACCCACCCAGGATCACTGGGTGGTATATCAATTTTGTAAATTATTACTCATATTAAGTCCTCCTCTAGGGCTGTGTCAGAGATAGCAACAAAGATTGATAGACTGTTGGACAGACAGTTTTTAGAGACATCTGGAGAAATTATCAGTTCATTTATACTCCGTTCCTATACAAAAGAATCAAGCCTCATAGCAGCTGGGGACTCTACATGTCTTTAATCTTTACATTATGGAATTGAGACTATTTGTGCCAGAAAATAAATCTCCCTTTGTCAGGAATAGCTGTTTTGAATGCAAAGGGGGGGAAAATGCATCTTGAGCCTGTGTCAAACGCCCACCATGCCCATGCTCATACCCTGCCACGTCCCCTCCATCCATCCCCAGCCTTCCGAGGTCAAACACAACCCTGATGTGCCTCTCAATGAAATTGAGTTTGACATCCCTGCTCTAGAAGAAAGTAATGGCAAACCAAGTTCATATTATTGCAAAGAAAATAACATAGATATGTCTTTGAAGTAATAATGAAGTAATGTTTCCTAAGAATTTAAAGCAATTCAAACATAAAGGGAGCTATATTGTTAATGTAGATAAAAGTGTTTTCACTTTTTTAAAAAAAAAGTTTTTTATTTTATATTTTACAACAATTCTATTTCATTTCAACCATGTATTGACTGGGTACATATATCTTGTACTTACAATTATATTCAATAAATTTCTTATCCAGGTAACAATAATCACATTTTCTTATATCTATTAAAATGTGTTCTTTTTTTTTCTCCTAAATACTTTCCTAATTCCTTACAATGAAAATCATTTTTCAAACCAGAGCTCTGGGATATTGGTAAGAATATTAAAGGCTGCAGAAGTTAGCACTGATTACAACAAAGCTTGTGTCCAGTTGCAATAAATTTCCCTCCTCTTCCATGTTTTAAAATTTCTACTATATTGGATTCAAAACACATTGCCCAAGATGCTTATAGCCTTAGAGAAGAAATACAGCAATTAACAAAACATGAATTAATCCAGCAAACGGAGGAAAGCATTAAGAAACAAATGTAAATAACTCCATTAAGCCTTTTTGCTATAAGGGGAAAGGAACAGGAAAAGTTTGTCAAGTTTTCAAGATTCTGTTATTATGGTCTACATCAGGGATGTCAAACTTGATTTCATTGAGGGCTGGATCAGCATTGTGATTGTCCTCGGGGGGAAGGCATGGCCAGGGTGTTTGTGGCCAACTGGGTGTGGCCTGGGGGCATGGCCAGCTTGACATTGCTCATGTGGGAGGGGCACCTGTGGGGGCCAGATGGGGTAGGGGAGGAAATCCAGGATCTCTGGCAGGTAGGGTGGTGGGTGGGAGGCTCCTCCCGCAGAATGAGGTGAGGCATGGCAGGGGTGGAGCAGCTGCCAGAAACTGTTGGCCAATGTACAATGTCTTTTGTGGGGGAGGGCTGATAGTTTCCGGCAGGAGCCACAACCTGCCAGCCTATCAGCTGGCGCACTCTGTGGGTCCGGAGCCCACTGCCCCCATCAGGCTGGCTGTCCAAGTAGCAGGCACAGGAGCAGCATCAGCAGCAGGTGAAGCCGGGCGGGAGGCATGTGCTGTGACCGCTGGATGTGGTTATTCTGTCCCACTTGCTTGCAGTTAGAGAGCAGGTCACTGCTGGTCGTCTTCTCCTTGGTCCCCTCGTGGGTCTTGCCCTTGGCCTGTGCATGGAACATTTCCCTTGTGCACCAGATGCACCCCGGCCTCACTGCAGGCTGCTGCTGCTGCCACTGCTCAGCAGACCCGCCCAACTCGAAGGAGGCAAAGTGGCCAGCTAGAAAGGCCGAGTAGAGATGGTACAGCACGCCCAGGCCCAGCAGGCAAAAGACCACTACCCTGAGTGGGGAAAGCTGGATCCCATTGCCGCCTTGGCCACCCAAGCCCAGCAGAAGGGAAGAGGGAGGGAGGCATGTGATCCCGGCTTGACCTGGGCAGCCATGGTGTTGATGGGATCTGGCTTTCCCCACTCGGGATGGCTGTCTTTTACCTGCTGGGCCTGGCATGCTCTACCACCTCTATTTGGCCTTTGTAGCTGGCTGCTTCGCATCCTTCAGGCTGAGTGGGCCTGGTGCTCCAGGCGGTGATGGCAGGAGCCTAATGTATCTGTGCAAGCTGCTAGCAGCCTCGGTGGTGGCAACGACCCACAAGTGTGTTGACTACAAGAGGCGAACGTACTCCATGTGTGGGCCAAGGGCAAGACCTGCAAGGGGGCTAAGGAGAAGATGACCAGTGGCGACCTGCTCTCTAACCACAAGCAAAAACAGACAGTGGGGCAGAGTAAGCATGTCGAGCAGTCCACATCACAAGCCTCTCCCTGCTATTGATGCTGCGGCCATGCCTGCAACCTGGAAGTGGCCATCCAAGCTGGACCATAGACAACCTTAGATTCCCATCCCCTGGGCGTTCACATTGGAGGTGGCAAGTGCGTGATGGTTGGCATCCTGGGTGAAAGGGAAGTGCTCAGAACACAGTCCCCAAGGATGTTAGGCCCTGAGTACTCGCCCAAGGTCCTTTGCTGTTTCTCAGTTGGCTCCTTGGACAAGATCTAACCACCTTGTGGGCTGGATCTGGCCTGTGGGCCTTGAGTTTGACACTCATGGTCTATATTAACTAAGTAGAGTTCCAGGATTTCTTATAAACTCTGTTTCCTGACCTATCTATCTTGAAGGGGTAGAACATACTATTAAAGAAAACAAGACCCAGCGGGTGTTCAAAATCCTATTAGAAATGTACAAACATGGAAGAAAATACAAGTTTATTGCATGTTTGAGTAACAACAAAATGGATTAGTATGTAATTGGAGAATACATTCAGTAAGCTTCTGACATGTAAGATGTAATGATATATTAGATTTATTGTTCAACAAAATGGCATTTGAAAATCTTAAACTTGAAACTAAAATGGAAAATATGTAAATTGTGCTACCAGGTCTCAATTCACCACAATCTGACTACCAGATTTGGGAGCAGGGCAGGGCAGGGCATATGTGGAAAGGAACTATTATCTTTATGCTTTCTACTTTATCTTTCAGAGACAACTAGCTTACCACATTTGAAGGAGAATGCTTTGTATAAAAACCAGATAGCAAATACAAATGCATGTCAGAAAATATGGCTGACTTTGTTCCCATGTTACCACAGACTTTATAACAAACTCAGTTTTGGTTTTATGTAGTATAGTCTATTTCCTTGCTTTGTTTTTAACTATGGGAATTTTTCTGTTGCCATTTTGTCAAAATATGTCTTAATAGTAAAACCCATGCTTGTATTTGTATTTTAAGTGTTTTGCATACCTGTACATAAAGGTGTGTGGCAACTACAATTTATGAAAATAGATCAGCATTTGCAAACCTATTTTCAAATGAAAATTTCTAACTAAAACATTTTTTCTTGAGATAAGTACTTACCTTGTATTTTCCTTTGATAATGCCTTCAAACAATCTTTCTTTTGTACCATAAAAAGGCAAACAACCACTAAGCAGAATAAAAAGAATAACTCCACAGCCCCACACATCTACAGGCTTTCCATAAGGCTCTCTTTTTACTACTTCTGGAGCCATAAAATGAGGAGTTCCTACACGTCCTAAAATAAAATTAAAAATATATTGTTTTTAAAGATGGCAGAGGAATACAAATCAAAATTTTACATTGCATTTATTTTATCATATTTTGATTTAGTTATGTGATTTATCTGCCAATTCTGTACTAGCAGGCTTCTAGATAGTGTACAGATACTAGCAATTATATAGCAATACAAGATCCAATAGCAGTATACTCATGGTTGCACATGAATCAATCAATCACCAAAGCCAGAGCAGCCAGCTTCTGGAAGGCTCTGAGAACAGAACCATCTTCATTTTGGGGGACCACCCAAAATATGATATGTTAATGCATGGTACAATTGAGACATCAGTGCCCAAATATTCTTTCTTAATTCCTGTCTTACAGTAATAATAGTGACTGGAGACCACACCCACCTGTCATTTCAGAGTCCCACATCTGGGCTACCAAGGCAATTTTTAGGGGGAGAAGTCCTAACCTTTCCTTCTAGATGATGCAATTTCCTCTCAAAAAATCTTCTCCTGTGCTGATACTGAAACAATTTTAAAGCCTCACTAATTTATATGCATATATGTAAAACAGAAAGATAGATTGCACACATATGTGAAGAAGAAAGCATATTGTGACCATATTCTTTGTGACTAAGCTATGTAATCCTGGCACACAAGCCTGGAATCAATTCAGTGCAGAGATCAAAATATACTAGGAACTAACATTCTTTACCCATTGAAGCTTTAGCACCAGTTTCAAAAGTAGCCCTACCTCCAATAGTGCAAATGGAGAATTACTCCTCCCAGGAAGGTCCACTGGATCATAGAAATCTCAGATGTGCAAAATATTTTTCATGAAGAAAAACTTTCTGTGTTAAACACCCTGTTTCAAGCTTGAAATGACTGTTAGATCTTCCCTGAACTGTCTAAGCCAGAATTGTTCTATTTTAAGCTTAGTTCTTCAGTAAAGTTCTGCTGGAGTTGAGAGAGCTCATTTGAAATAATCATTTCCAAAATGGCTATATCTACTTTGAAACTTTCTCCACACATTTACTAGTTACACACATACATTGTATTCAGAAAGTATTCAGACGCCCTTCACTTTTGTCAATTTTGTTACGCTGCAGCCTGATTTGACAGTTGTTGAATTTCCCACCCATTAATTTATACTCCATACCCCATAATGATAAAGTAAAAACAGAAGTTTAGAAATGTTTGTAAATTTACAAAAATAGTAAAAACTGAAATATCACATAGGCGTACATATTCAGACCCTTTGCAACACTTGAAATTTAGCTCTGGTATCCCCCATCTCTTTTGACCGTTGCTGACATTTTTCTACACCTTAATTGGAGCTCATCTGTGATAAATTAAATTGATTGGACATTATTTAGAAAGACATACACCTTTCTAAAAATCTCATAGTGACAAGGCATACTGTAGTAGAGCAAAAGCCATGAGGTCAAAGGAACTACCTGCAGAACTCAGAGACAGGATTATTGCACGGCACAGATCTGGAGAAGGCTACAATAAAACTTTTGTTGCACTAATGGTTCCTAAGAGCACAGACCTCCATAATTCTCGAATGGAAGAAGTTTGGTACAACCAAGACTCTTTCAAGAGCTGGTTACCTGGTCAAACTGAACAATCAGGGGATATGGGCCTTAGTAAGAAAGATGACCAAGAATCTGATGGTCACTCTGACTGAGCTCGAGAGATACTGTGTGGAGATGGGACAGAGTTCCTGAGGGACAACCATCATTGCATCCCTCCACTGATCTGGATTTTATGGCAGAGAGGCTAGATGGAAGCCTCTCCTCAGTGAAAAACATATTAAAACCCACTTGGAGTTTACAAAAAAGCATCTGATCTGATGAAACCAAAATTGAACTGTTCAGCCTCAATTCTAAACATTATTTCTGGATGAAACCAGGCATGGGTCATCACCTGCACAATGTCATCCCAACAATGAAATGTGGTGGCGGCAGCTGTGACAATGTTTTTAAGTAGCAGGGACTGGGAGACTGTTCAGGGTTGAGGGAAAGCTGAATGGAGCTGAGTACTGGGATATCCTCAATGAAAACCTGTTCCATAGCACTCAGGACCTCAGACTGGGCTGAAGATTCACTTTCCAACACAAGAACAATCCTAAACACCCAGCCAAGACAACAAAGGAGTGGCTTCAATTTACGCTAAGGCATTCAATTCTTGAATGTCCTAGAGTGGCCCAGCCACAGCCCTGAGTGAACCCTATTGAACATCTCCGGAGGGATCTGAAAATGGTTGTCCATTGACAGTCACTATCCAACCTGACTGAGCTTGAGAGGATTTGCAAGGAAGAATGGCAGAAAATCCCCCAATCCAGGTGTGCAAAGTTTGTTGCATCATATCCAAAAATATTCAAGGCTGTAATTGCTGCTGTAATTACTGCCAAAGGTGCTTCAACAAAGTACTGAGTGAAGGGTCTGAATATTTATGACAATGTGATATTTCAGTTTTTCTTTGTAATAAATTTAGACATTTCTAAAATTTTGTTTTCACTTTGTCATTATGAAATATGGAGTATAGATTTATGACAAATTTTCAACAACTGTAAAATCAGGCTGCAGCATAAAAAATTGATAAAAGTGAATGGGATCTGAATACTTTCTGAATGCACTATACTTGCACGCACACATTAAATTCTTCAAAAGCATAATTCCTGAGTTAAGAGGAGCTAATTTGTCTGTGAACCACTGGTTTTGTTCATTCTCAAAAAGGCAGCCCCCAAAGTTGATGTGTTTTGCTTAATTAGGCTAGAATAGACAGTGGAGCAAAGACTTCAATTAAAGAAACTCACATTTACACAAAATATGAAATATATTTAATAAATTAATATATTACTTTATTTTCTATTTATTTTTCATTCTTAAGCATGGTTTACTTTGCAAATTTTCAATGACTGTTTCTTAATCACTTGCAGAATATTCAAGTTGCACAATTAGACAGTTCTCTGTTTTACTTTTTTATAAACAAGCTATTTTCTTATATCATAAATTCATCCTTGGTAAATTTCACCCCAACTAAAAAAAATATTTATTGAACATGATATGAAATAGTCATTACTTACCTCCAGCAACAAGTCCTGATTCTCCTAATTGAATAGCAACACCAAAACCACCAAGTTTTACAGGTGCTGAATTTTCCTTTGAAGCAAGTAGCACACAGTGTGGCTGAAATGATAAAATCATTGTGATGATTGATAAATCATCAATTTATGATGGCAACCAGAATATATATGTACAATAGTCATTGATAGGGGACAGGATGTATCATGCACAGATAAAATAGGTTCTTCAAGTCAAATGGCACTTAATGTCCTAGTGAGGAATCTAAAATAAATTTGGAGTGCAAATGGTATTTAGAATGTGGCTAGATTAAAGCCTTTGAAACAGCCAGTTTCTTATTACCAAGGAGAAAAAAAATCCAAGGCTGCAAAAAAGTCAGAATTACAGTGGTAACATGGTATATGAAAAACATGATTACGGGAAAGCTGTGAATACTGAAACATGCAGTAAAAGATAACACAAAATTACCACTTGACATTTTAGGCATCAGTAAAATGAGATGGACTGGGATTGGACACTTTCAGTCAGAAGATCATACTATTGAGAAGAAGGCGGAGCCTTCTCGCTGACGGACCGTAGATTGCGACTCTCTGCGGCTATGGTCCGTGCTCTTTTGTTGGAGAGCCCCAATCATTACGATTAGGGGCTGAAGCTGCCTTGGAGGGGCGGTGGAGTAAGGGGAAGCCACAAGCCAGGTTGAGGGGAGACGCATCTCCCCCACTGGGCTTGGTCTCTTTCCCCCCTGAAGACGACTGCAGCGGTGGTTTAAAATGGCCACCCTGAAGAGGAGGACTCAGATGGATTAAGATTTGTGCAGGAGGGAAGAAAGAGGTGGATAACATCTGAACCGGGACAACTGGGCAATACAACTAAACAAAAGTACCCTGGGATTAAGGTAATATGGATTTTTTAAGAAAAGAAAAGTGATCGGCGAAATTACAAAGGAATAGGGGGAAAAAAAAGAAAATATTTTTGACAGCTAAGTGGGTCTTCGAACCGAGAAAGGAAGAAGCTGGAACTAAAGATTTAACTAAATTGGACTAAAATATTTTGGGAATAAACAGGCATAAAATAAAGCTGGACTTAAGATTGTCAAATAATAATAATAATAAAGTTTACAAATTGGAGACTGGACTGTGCTGGAATATTGAGGTTCGAAAAACCCTAAATAAAAAAATAGGGGTGAAAAGTGAAGACTTTGTATAATGGAGAGTGCACCTTTTGACAAAAACTTGAGCTCAAACAAAAGGGAAAGCATCCTGTTTCTGAATGAACTTGTGTGGATATAACTTTAAAGAAATATTGAAACAGTAAGAATCTTACAAAGTGAAAGCAGAACCAGAATAAAGGAAAAAGCAAGGAAAGACTGACTGTGGGATTGATTGATATTTTTGGTATAGACCCTGGGCTGGAATAACTGAGAACTTTAGAAAATTGAAAGAAGAAAGAAGGAAAGTAAAAGTGGTTTTTTTGTGGACTTTAACAATCATAAAATATAAGAGTATGTAATGGTGATATCTCTTCGGGAATTAAAAATGGAACTTAAAAATATGAGAAAATTACTAAAGGAAAGAGGCGAATCACTTTGCTCTGTTTTAGAAAAAATGGAAATGGCGATTGAAGAACAAGAAGAAAGAGCTTCAGAGGAGGAGGAGGTGACTCAAGGAGAGGACATTTTAAATAGACAATTAACACAAAGAACACTACAAAGAAGTGGGGAAAGAAGGAAGGTTAAAAAGTTGAGATTTAAGAAGGCAATCAAAGGGAATACCTGTGAAGTCGGGAAAGGCAGAAAGACCCAGCAGAAAAGGGGAAAGGAAGATATGAAGAAAGAGAGGGATATAAACTGGAATGAGAAAAGATATGGGGAAAAGAGGGTGAGGAGAAGCAGTAAGAAACAGGTGCATGAAATAAAGAAATACGGAAATAGTAAAATGTTGAAAAGAAATTGTTTTTTCAGAGATAATGGTTGATGAATTAAAAAGGGGATTCTGCAGGGTGACAAGGGGTAATAAGAATATTTCTGCAATTAAAAATATTTAGAAAATAGGGTAATATAGATACTGATAACTCTTATTAAAAATCAAGGGGGGAAAATGTGCTGTGGAATCCAAATGAAAAGATGTAATGATTATTATTGTAACTTCTTAAAAATAATGGTTTAATGGGAATGAAGATGAGGGAATAAAGGTATATTTTAATCATTGAGGTGTCACACTCAAAAGCAGTAAAAGGGGGGAAACCTATACTTTTTTTTTAGTGTTAAAATTTGTATTAATCTAGAATTTATAAAAAGAATGTGTAATGGAAAGGGAATATGATAGACTAAAGAACCAACTAAATTAATAAGTTAACATAGACTATTAAAAGCAAGGAGAGACATTGGTAACTTTATTATTATTATTATTATTATTATTATTAGGCAAACACATATTGTTTATCTTTATTTTTAAAATAAATATTAAAGGATTATATTTGAAATAATTGAAATGAAACAAATATGTTTCAATTGAGATTAATGAAAGAATTTAGAATTAAACTTTATTACTATTTATTAGGCAAGTACATATTGTTTATCCTTATGTTTAAAAATAAATACTAAAGGATTACTTTTGAAATAATTGAAATGAAACAAAATTGATTGAGATTAATAAAAGAGGCTAGAATTAATGTGTTTGTTTCTCTCCTTACTGAAAATTTGGAATGGAAAAGGTAATAATAGCATTAAGTATGCATATATGAATGCATAATTGCTGTCATATTTGTATGTAAAGGTGATTACCCAGAAATATGTTGTCCACTAAAAAGAGATTTTTGTTTTTAATGTGAAAAACTGAATAAAACTTGTGGGAAAAAAAAGATCATACTATTTATTACTCAGGATATGAAAAACAAATTAACTAATCACAAATAACAAATTAACCATTTGTTAACAAATTTTGTTAATTGTTAATGGTGGTAGTGTTATACATAGGAAGAGTAGAGAAAGAACAGTATGCAATCAGTGATTCCATAGTATCATTTAGCCTTAATGTACAATCCTTTAATATGACAATCATCCAAGTTTATGCTTCAATCATCAATGAAGAAGAGACTGAGGAATTTTATGATCAAGTCCAATTTGAAACCAACAGAAATGCAAGCAAGATACTTATGGCTAGAGAGTGGAATGCAGAAATAGGAAATTGTGAGGAAAATGTAGTTTGATTGCATGGATTAGAAAACTGAAATAAAACAGGACAGCAAATTATTAATTTCTCCCATTCCAATGATTTCTTCATAACCAACACTATCTAAAAACAACAACCCTAAAACAATGTTGCATACATAGAAATCACTAGATTAAATATACAGAAATCAAACTGGCCATATGATTGTTAAAAGATGAAGAAGCTCAGTTATAGGATCAAAAACATAATAAAATGCTGTTTGTGGAACAGATCATGAACTGCTCATGTGCACATTCCAAGTGAAGCTAATGAAGTAGAAAGTAACCAACTTGTACAATATGAAAAAAATACTCACCATTTTCATGGAGAACATCAGGAATCACTTTGAAGTTCTGAACAGCACTGATTGGGAACCAGTTAGTGAAGTTCAGAAGTTCTATGAAACTTCTATTGAATGAAATCATGGAAGTTGTTAAGGATGAAGGAGGAGATTATCAAAGCCCCAAAAAACAGAAGAAAGCAAACTGAATGACAGAACAAATAGTGGATGTTGTCAAGAGAAAAGAAGCCAAAGCCAAGAGAAGCAAAGATCTCAGGAAGGGAGAATTTTAAACAGCTATTAAAAGCAGTACACGCAGTCCTCACTTATTGACTGCCTTGTCTAGTCACTGTTTAAAGTTACAGTGGTGGTGGTGGTGGTGGTGAAAGCGCTTTGCAACCAATGCTTGCATTTATGACTAATGCAACATGCACAGGTTACATGATCACCATTTCTGTGCTTCCCAAATGGTGTCATGCCCCTGTCGGAATCTGATTTGGAGGGGGAGGCCAAGCAGCTGACAAGGAGTGGGAGTGTGGCTCCCTTGGCTGTGGAAGAAACTAGGGAAGGACAAAGTCCAGCTGGGCAGAGCAGGGAGAGTTAGAGCAAGGGAGAATTTGGAGGAAGACCCAGGCCCATCCCCTCTTCATCCTAGGGCACACAGGGATGAATGGAGAAGGGAGCAACGTGAATTGCGTGGCTTATGGGGGAGGAAAGGACCCTGATTCCCTTCATTAGCTGCAGCTGGGAACACAGTGTTTTAAAAAGGAAAGCTGCGTACAGCAAGTTGTTGGGAACAAATTGTGAATTATTTGGTATCATTGAGGCTTATCTGTGTTCCTAGCGTCTTCCCAACTGTGAATGTTTTGCTGTGCTTTCAAGTCCGTAATTCCTTTTCTGCCCTGTCAAGTTAATTACTGCAGTGTGGTTTGTTTTGATTTTAGTTGCAGTTTGTATGTACTTTGTTTTTGGACTGAATTTTTCCCACTAAAAGACTGTTCCTAGGAGAGTTTTTCTCCAGCCGAAGGTAACCTGGACATTGAGGGCAAAGTTGGAGATAATAAAGGGACTCTTCTTGCTTATTTGACTGTGTTGCCTTTGTGCCATGCCCCGGGTCATCACAAGTGGGTTGCAAATTAATACAGGTAGAGTTAATGGAGAATATGGAACTAAAACTGCAAGTTGTGGTCATATGCTGTTTTGCTTAACAACTGAAGTGATGTCATAAACCTGTTGCAGTCATATAGTTTTCAACACTGTGGTGTTTAGCCACAAAGGGTCTAGGTGGTCCCAAATGTGGTCGCTAAGTAAGGACTGCATGTATTACTAATCTGTAAAGCTATCAGAGGTAGAAACCGTTACAGTGAACAAGGAAAGTCTTTCAAAAGATTTTGAAACTGAAGAGAAGGTTACATCCTCAATATGTTTAAAGAATGCCAATGGACAAATAATAACCAATTCAAAGAGAAAAAAATGATGGAAGGAATAAACTGAAATTCTGTGCAGCAGAAATGCCAATGTCCAAGATACCTTAGAAGACATTCTCTATATACAAGAACTCAGTACCAGAAGAGAATGAAGTTATAATAGCAGTCTGTTCATCATCAAGATGGAAGGCTACATAAATTGAGGGAATATATACAGATATATCAAGCAATTAAAGAAAAAGCAATAAAAATTATAAACAAACTTTGCCATCTAATTTGGATAACATCATAGTGGCCATCTAATTTGAAGAGGTCAGTCTACATACTAATATCAAAGAAAAGAGGGTATTAACTCAAGGTACGAACTATTGTACTAATGATACAAAATAATGATAATAATCCTAGCAAAATAATGCTTAGGAACATCCAATGCATATTAAAGCCTTAAATGGAAAAGGATACAGATGTTTAAATTGATTTCAGAAAAAGTCAAGATGTGACATTGTTGTTGATGCTACTGGATAACTGAAAAAAATAAAAAGATGCAAAAACAGGGGGCCCAATATGTACTTTTTTGGTTATTAAAAAGATCTTTGATCTTTGAGGGGACCAATATGTACTTCTTTGGTTATTAAAAAGATCTTTGGTTATGTGGATTATGTCAAGCTGTGGAATGTCTTAAGGAAAATGGGAATTCCAGAATATCTAATTGTCTTCAGAAGAAACCTATATGCAAGATAGGAAACAATAGTATGGATAGAACATTGAGAAACATACTCCAGATCAGCAAAGGAGTGACAGAAGACCAAAATAACAGGTATAGCAACAGCCTCAGAACCAATAATAACAATACTGAAAAGGTGGATACCTTCTGATTTTAGGTTCAATTGTCAACAATAGTTGATATTAATAGTTGATGAAGGACAGGGGAGCCTGGTGTGCTATGGTCCATAGGATTGGAAGAATCAGATATGACTCAGCAACCCGACAACAATAATCAAAAATAAAGAAATAGATTTCAAACTATGATGAAGTAGCAATGAAAGCCTTGGAGAAGATAGTCAGATGCTATGATATGCCTATATTTATTTATTTTATTTGGTTTGTCAATTGCTTACAAGATAATAGGTATAAGTAAAAACATAGTTATGAATACATGGATACATATAAGAAAAATAAAAGAAACAAAAGGACAGGGACGGTAGGCAAGTTGGTGCACTTACGCATGCCCTCTACAGACCTCTTAGGAAAGGGGTGAAGTCAACAGTCGAAAGTCTAAGGTTAAAGTTTTTGGGGTTTGGGGAAGAAACCACAGAGTCAGGTAGAGTATTCCAGACATTGAACACTCTGTTGCTGAAGTTGTATTTCCTGCAATCAAGTTTGGTGCGATTAACCTTGAGTTTGTATCTATTGTTTGCTCTTGTATTGTTATGATTGAAGCTGAAGTATTCATTGACAGGTAGGACATTGCAATGTATGATTTTATATACTAAATTTAGATTGGACCAAAGGCGGCACAGTTCTAGGTTTTCTAGGTCTGGTGGCATAAGGTATTCTGCAACGAGTAGAGGAGTGGAAAACTCTTCTTGGGAAATATTTCTGGATTTTCTCAACTGTGTTAATATCAGATACACAATGTGTTTTCCAGACTGATGAGCTGTATTCGAGTATTGGTCTAGCAAATGTTTTGTATGCTCTAGTTAGTAGTGTAATATTACCAGAGAAAAAGCTACGTAAGATTAGGTTAACAACTCTTAATGCTTTTTTGGCTATGTAGTTACAGAATCAGAATCATGCAGGCAACAGTTTTTCCCATGACACCCTACAGAAGCAAAAGTTAAATTTTGAAGAAGGATTGAAAGAGAATTGGCACTTTTGAACTTGTGAGTTGGAGAAGACTCTGAATAAAATAGCATGGATAGTCAAGAAAACAAACAAATGGATTGTAGATTAAATCAATCTAAAGTTCTTACTTGAAGCACAAATTACAAGGCTCAAATATCACATTTTGAATATATTATGCAAAGAAGTGGCTCTCTTGAGAAGTCTGTAATACTGAGAAAGGTAGAAGAAAAGAAAGGAAGAGGATGACCAGTGGCAAGATGGATGAACTGAATTACAGGTGATGGATATAGTGTTGGAACGATCTGAAGGACAGATTAGGGACTGCTCTTCTTGAAGTAGGTCTATTTATTTGGTCACTAATAATCAGCACTGTGGATAATTCACAACTATATTTAAATTATAAATTATCTACCTTAATTTCTATACTGTACTTGTTTTGTAATTATAACTACACTATACAGTTACAAAGTATATACTTTTATATATTCAACTATTATACTCCAGCATTATTTATGAAATTATACAGATACAGTAAACAGATAAAAATATAATTATTGACTGCATCAGATCTGGATTCAATAATAGAACACTCAAAGAAATAAACAGATCACTTGTACAAAAACACATTTTCTAGTTCTCAGACTAAGAGGTGGAAAATGTTTTGAATTCAAACAGAGCTCAAAATTGGTGTTTTAAATTCAAAACACTTCACATTCTAAATGCGAAGTGGATATAGGAATTTCGTTAAAAAGAAAAAATATAGTGTATATAACTATATTACATTATAATATATTGTATTTCATGTGTGTGCACTTGGGACCCTTACCATATGAAATGGTTCAATTGTTTTACTATTCTGACTGTCCCAAACTCCAAATTAATAGGTGCTCTTGACTGAGAATGAAATGGAGAAACTAAGCAACAATAAATAATACACTCACATAGATAATATTTTTCCTGTAATAATATGACTTACCTTCACATCCCTGTGAATTATATTATTATCATGACAATAGCGCAGTGCTTCCAATATCTGTCTCATGTAATGACTGCAAAACCAAACATGCAAATAAGTTATAAGCACTGCAAAGAAAAAATAGGCATAAAATTCAGCTTGTTTGAGCACTATATTTTAGAAATTCAAAATCATCGGGGTCTTTATTTATGTTACATGTACTTTGAAACCTAAGGCTGTAACATTTCTTTCCAGAAATAAGTCATGTAAGAAAAAGTTGCTTCTAAATAGTATCCATAATATCATGATGTTATTTATGGGTGAGACTATATTCAGAGTTTTCTGAGCAAGATATAATCTAAACAATTTAAAATCAAAGTCATAATTTAATAAAAATATAAACATCCTTTTAACAAAATATTAGAATTGAAATTAACATACATTTATATTATTTAATATTATTTAAAACACTTCAGTAAAAACAAAAAGGTCTTTTCCTGATGTTTGAAAGGGCAGTAATTGGCATAACTAACCAGAGTTGCTGGCAACCAAGAGGCACATAAATTTAATAAATTATTATTACATTAAAATGTTCAGAGAGGGCACACCCTGAAATAAAAACACTGATATGAAGACTTTCCCTTGGATCCATAGTCTATATTTCAAATGGTGGGGAACTTGATGCTAATCACTTGTAGAATGGAAGGAAAACTTGCTTATGTGTATTTTTAACTATTTGAATAGTCACCTGTGCATCAATAAAAATAGATAACTAGCAATCTTATTTTATGGAGGAAGAGAAAGTACCTGATCAGGAGAGAAGTTCAGATAAAAATATCTAGATAAAGATCACATCTGCCCTGACAGTGTAATCCACATAACAATGATCTTTGCATAAATAAAGTGTAGGAGTTTAGGGTAAAAAGATAGCAGAAGAAAAGAGATTGAAAATGGTAAAAGTCTAAAACTGGAAGAAAATATGCAATGTCAACTCATAACTATGACAGTAAGATATGGCACAACAATGAGCAAGGTACCCATCACTAACTCAGCATGCTCAGGTGAATGCCATCAAATTGCCACATTGAATGTGACAAAACTAACAACAGAGATTCAGGACCATTTCAGGAGAACTACTTACAACTCTATGACAGTACTAGTGATTAATAATAAGATAAAGATTGTGAAGGCTTTTCAAGAAGCATTTCATGCCCAGATAATAGAATATTGGGTTATCATCCATTGGTAGGGATACAACAAAATGTTTTTAAAGTAAATATGTGTGGGGATAAAAGCCAAATCTATGACTTTAATGTCAGGAGAAATTGAAAAACTACATATAGAGGAAAGAATCCAGGACTGGTCTGTACAGAAAATCATGTACTGTGCAATCTTTCCTGAGGCTAATTATTACCAAGTGCTCAAATAGAGACAAATTTTAACAATGATATATTCAGGATCTTCAAGAAACGGGTATTGCACAAACCAAATCCATTGTGGTCTGAAAAATGATAGATTGCATTTGAGTAGCATTAAGTCGCAGATATCCTTCATTACAACTCCAACCTTGGATAAAGCAATTGTGTTAACAACTGATGCCTCAGTGTGAGTCACTACCTGAAGTTAATGCAGAGCAAGATCCTCATTTGGTGCAATTTCTGAATAAGAAACTACCCAAACTACTCACTGGTCTGTGTTGGAGAAAGAATATATATGCCCTTGAGAACAACATCACTTACATGTAGGACTAGCTTCAACTGTTATTTTGAACTCGGAATTGACCATGCATCATTGAAAGGCTACAGGAAATTCATCAAAAGAAATGTGTATATTGTAGTTTCATACTGCTGGTGTATAGTTTTAAAACTGAGTATATTCAAGAGAAGAAAACATAGTGGCAGAAATATTTAAGGAGCACAAGGACTCATATGGAAGAGTAGGGGAGTAATGAAGGATACTGTCTATTGATATATTGATAGGTCTAAGCCCAAAGACAATATAGTGAATGTGTGCTTGGAGAAACAGTGGTAGGGAATCTTGGCAGCAGAGAACTTTTCCAGGGAGAAGATAGTATAATCCAGAGAGAAGCTCAAATAAAGAGACTGTGCAATACTGCATTGGATTGGGCAGGGAGAGAATAAATTATGCCCTAGAATCTCTCAGGATATATCTATTAGGGCAGTGGTCCCCAACCTTTTTTGTACCACGGACCGGTACAATCCACGGACCGGTACCGGCATCAGCATGCACAACCAAGGCAAGGCGAGCCGAGCGACCGGCCAGCCAGCCGTCGCCCGCTTCTCCCCGCCACCTTCAACTCCTCCTTTGTACCTTCTCGCAGTCGATGGACTTTTTGGGCTCTTTCTTAATCTCCTCCTGAGTAACGCGAGACTCCACCGCCATCGGGACGGCTCTTCGTTTGAAGCCGCACCCCCTTCGACGAAACTAAGGCGCGAGGATTCCTTCAGCACCCAACGCCGCTTTCCAACTGACGACCAACAAGCTCACTCGGAAGCAATTTCTCAAGCTCCGTCGAAACAAGATGGCGGCGCCCAAGGAAAATAGGCGGCCCGGTACAAAATGATCCACGGACCGTTACCAGTCCGGGGCCCGGTGGTTGGGGACCACTGTATTAGGGAACTGAGTTATAGTTTGGCAAAATTCTGTCCATTAGGTGTAAGCACAAAAAAGATTGGAAATCAATTGGATTTCATTATTTCAGGGAAGCAAGTGGTCCAGGAATAATTAAGAAAGAGAAAATATGTTTGCAAAAATTGCTACTCAGAAAAGTAAATATTTGATTAGGAATGCTGCTTTTAAAATATAATCTTTATTTTTTAATTAACCTTTTATATCTCTGTATAAGCTCAATTGTATATTTCAGTCTTTTCTGCATACTCAGGTTGTATAATATAAAACAGAATTTGAGCATTTTTAAAAATTTGGAATAATTGCTTTGAAACTTTCTTCAGTACCTTTCTATAATTCCTGCAGAATGCTAATTTTTGTTGTACATGGGAAAAGTCTTGTGGTCTGCTAAGAGCACTGTACCTTTTTCTATTAAATTTATTTTGTGCAGTTCTGGAAAGGGAGGAACAGTTTTTATTGTTATTCAGTGTCCTGAAGTTTGCTCAAATTCATGTTCATTGCATAAATTACTCTAGCGATATCATCCTCTCCTATCCCCTCCTCCTTTCGCTTTCAATCTTTCCCAACATTATGCTCTTTTCCAATGAGTCTTCTCTTCTCATCTAATTTTTCATTTAAAACTTGTAAGTTGGCAAACCTTTTTTGCAAAAATTTCCAAGAAGGAACTACTGTTAAAAACATTGAATCCCATCTCTTCTTTATCTCTCTTTTCGGGGATATCGTAAAGAATATATAAATAGTGAAAGTCCTTAATTTATTGCTGATTTGATTTTAATATAGTACAAATCTCTCTTATAGCCAAGCTTTGCAGTACAGTATAAAAAGTTCTTTTTCAAGGACAGAGAGAATGGATATTTCATAACAAAGTAACCACAGAAGCGGCTAAGATAATTCTCACAAAAGAGAAAATCTCTGCCTTTTTAAAAATAAAAAGGATATATACAAAAATAAAAAGAAGCAACAGAATTCTTTAGAAAGACTAATACAATGGAAAATCCTTAGAGTAAAAATGTGATATAAATCAGATCAAGTTGTCAAGGCTCTGACAATCCACCCCCATTCATGCTTGTGTTTGAGTTGACACAAGTTACTTTCACTGCAACAAAAAAAAGCCCTCATGCCGCCACATTCCTTGTGGTGAAAGAGAACGTGTTTTAAAACTCCAGAGTAAAGCTATGAAAGTTTACATTTGTAATTAAGCAAAGGGGTTTAGAACAAATCAGCACTCAGCCAGGCTATTAACAATTAAACTTCAAACTGTATTGTTAAAAACAGAAATATGCCTAAAAATGCAAATAACAGCTAGAAAAGGTGGAGGCCCAACCTTCTGGCCAGTCTTACTGAGAATCATAATCCTCTAAGGCAGCGGTTGCCAACTGATGGAGAAAATTTTGGTGGGCTGCAGAGAAACGTCACCCCCAGAGCAATTCATCCAGGTTGCGCAGAAACACAAGGCTGCGCTGCCCACATGGCTCGCGGGAACCCTCCCCGCCCACTCACTCCTTACCCTGCCCTGCTAAATTGCTATTTTTCCTTTTTCCGACCATCAGCTGTTCTGCTGTGCCGGGAGATTTAGATTAGCTAGAAAGCAGGAAATGGTTGGATTTCTTGCTTTCTAGCTAGTCTTTAGATCTTTGGTTCTGCTTTTAAGCACAGCCGAACCTTCCTTGGCAAGCAAATTTTATGTGACAGACTGAGCTAGCTGAGGGCAGATAGAAAGATCACTGAATGATTCTGTGAGCAACTCAATTTGCCTGCCAGCTTTGCCTGATTTTGGATAAAAGTTGCTCTCTTTTTTTATAAAAAATTCAATATTTACATACACGGTGTGTTGTGAGTTAATTTTGTGAGTTTGCTTGCTAGCAAATTTTATGAGTTTACTTGCAAGCAAATTTTATGAGACAGACTGAGCTAGCTGATGGCAGGTAGATAGATCTCTGAATGAATCCATGATTCTGTGAGCAACTCAATCTGCCTGCCTACTTTGCCTGATTTTGGGTAAAAGTTGCTCTTTTTTATAAAAAATTCAATATTTATATAAATATTTATAATATTTACATACAAGCCATGCCCATCCAGTCACATAACCTCCAAGCTACACCCACAAATTAGGCCATGCCCACAGAACAGGTTAGTGGTCCCTGGGATTTAAAATTATGAGTTTGGTGGTCCCTGAGATCCAAAGGTTGGCAACCCCCGCTCTAAGGCAAGTACTGGCAAGTACACAGTTGCCTGATGGTCATTATAGGTCATTCCTAGTTGTTCCTACTCAAATCTGGGAAGCGTGCTGCCAGAAAAACAGCTTTGGCAGAGCTGTTTGTCAGCAGGGAGAAAAGAAAACACCCAACTGCTCTGTATATTCTTGCTATCTCTTAATTTCTTTTTCTTGTCCCTATCATTTTTGTCCTTTACCATGCCCATCTTTGCATGAAAAATTCCCTTGAT